ATGTTAGAGTGATTATTTCTTAATATAAATAATAACCTAATACACAGACTTTCCTCCTGTTGAAATCCATCCTGCTTTTTAAAACAATACCATGCCCAGATGGAGTAGGATGGATAGAAACTAATATTTTCAAAGAGAGGATCTTTTAGTAGACTATCAGATTTCACTCAATTTTGTGGTGAGAGAAAACCAGAAGTGGATTCAATGTAAATGCTGTTGTCTTTCACTGTTGTTGTACCAAACTGAGGCATCCAAGGCCCAAACCAATGTTAGCTCTAGTCAGCAGAAGTCTTTGCACCACCTCTCTGGTTCTCAGGCATCCAAATGAAAGCTATCCAGCTAGGCAGCACAGTCAGAGCCTCTGCCTCTGACCTCGCTCTGATATTGCACACCAGGCCACAGATTTTGCAGATGGGGAAAGGCTGAACAGCAAGCCTTTCAGCCTCTTATAGATGTGGTTAAATTATCTTAATGTATTTAAACAAAGTGCAATGTCAAAGTAGCATAAATACCATATTTCAGCAAAATGGCTGCTTCTCCAGTGTTCTGCTGATGCCAAATGAAATACTTCTCATTGTTTATCCACAAAATTCCTTCTTGCCCACTGAATTTTAATATTGCTGGGTTGGGCCAAATAATCAGTTTCCTTTTAAAATAGAAAAACCATTAGTGCATTCCAATAGGCTTTTCATGTTACATTAAAAACCCTTGGGAGTGCAACACGATTAGCCTATTTTGGTTTTAATTACTGCTGATTGGAGCCTACCTGTGGGGAAACTCTGAAAGGCACACAACAGCCAGCCATGTGCACCTAGACATTTATGGAGCAGCTAAAGGAGAAGGCTTGAAATGTGTGGTAGCCATTTGGTATATTAGTAGTATTTCCAGCCTTTTTAAACAGGATGCCCTTTGTGCTAAGTAACACACCTGCATCACTTCAGAGATTAATGTGCAATTTCTTGGCAGTACTTGTGGACATTTCAGTTGTCCATTAGGATGATATAAAACCAGAGGAGAAATTTTTTTGATCAGCTTTAATTGAACAGTAATCTCTTTTGCTTAAAGTAACCTAGGTATCTTGGGAAACTTACAAGCCTCCATGAATGCCTGGACAAAGAGTAAAGAAATGACAGAGGCCCCCAAAAGTATAAATCCTCCTCCATTAGTCAAGTCTCTTCTGTGAATGCGTTAACTTAAAAAAATCATATTACTAAGTATTTTATCAAAGCAAACATTTAATCAAAGTGAAAAGAAGAGATACTAGTCCCCTTCTGGAATGGGATGGAGACTGCCAAGATGTGTTTTAATTTCTTAAGAAAACAAACTATGTTAAACACTGGGTTTTAAGCAAGCAGATGTTAATTTATCATTCGTTTTGTCTGTGCATGCGCTTGCGATCCTGCTGAACACAAGTTTTCTGAAATGGAAATGACCACATGGCCAATATCTTAAAAATTAATTCAACATGCCCTGCCTCTCGCATGCAACACATCCTTTTAATGGTGCTTTTCTTCTTTTTTTCAGCATTGGACAATGGAAACAGAACAACTGCCTTTGTGGGAGTCTGGTTCATGGCAGAGACAAACTATGACTGATGCCATATGCTATGAGCAGAGTTTGGATACTTTGCAAAGGCTATGCTTTCATGGCCCCACTTGTTTTAGAGGTTATCTCACATTAAAAGAAAAAAACAAAAACTTTGCTACTGTTTTAATCCTGGTCTGGCTGCAGACTTCCTAACTGGGGTCCTAGACCATGTGAGAGGGCCTGCAAGAAGTGGCCTGCAGCTGCCTCAGAACTGTGCTGAAGTGCTCTGGAGAGCTCTGGGCTGAGTGTTTGGGGTGCCAGAGATGTCCAGGGATGACAGCAGTTCATGCACACACCAGGTTTTCTCCTCATACATCACAAAACAGCTAAAGGCTGGGTAAGGAAAACATGAGCAAACAAAATAGAGTAGCATTATAAGCTCAAACTCCTAATGTGCAGGTACAATTGCCACAGTCACTGGAGATCGACATGGTAAGGGCCAGACTTTGATTTCAGACTGGTTGTTCGTGAGCAAAATTAAAGTAAGTGCAATTATGACCATGGGTCCTGATGCAGAAAAAAGACTCATTCACAACTAATGGCCACACATGTCTTTGGAGACCGTAGCTTTCACCTTTCTCGTAAAGACTCAAGTGGCAGCCATGAACCTGAAGCATAGCCCAGTGACATCATTTATAGTTACCCACCTTGTCTTAGTCAGGGCAGTATGTTTCCCTAGTCAGCAGAGTATAACTTGTTCATTTTTTTGTATAATCCCTGTCGTGCCCACTCTGCTGCTTTGTTCCTCTGCTAGTGATCACAACTCATCCGCTCGTCAGCAGAGCTGTCCTAAAGCTCTACAAGTAAGAAGTGACACTGGCTGATGATGAATGCTATCAGCATACCATCACAGTGACTGACATCTTTGACACCTCATAAACCCAAACTTTAAACAGTCACGTACCAGAAGAATCATTTGCTGATCTGCGCTAATGCAAACAGCAATAGCAGAAGCATGTTAAGCCTGCATACACAGCTAACAGTTTTGATGCTCTATATTATTAGATGCCACAATAATAATTAACTATAAATACCATGCACCCTGCATGTGACATAGCTACTCACCTGGGCTTGAACCCTGAGTTAAGGGCAGCAAGGATGACAGAAGTGAGAAAGGAACAGTGCCTGTGTTTCAGCTCGCCCCTTGCCTGCTTCCAGAGAAGGTGAGCCTCAGTTTCTTCAGATCCAAGCATATGAAGAAATACTTGCTATCTGGAACATTCCAGTCTACCAGGGAAGTAACCAGACATTTGTCTTCCCAACAGCATTGAAAACCCCCACTGTGGCTGCTCACAAATAGAGACATTAGTCATAATACTAGGGGATAGGAGAATAGACTATTTCATTTGGAAGGGACCTGCAATGATCATCTAGTTCAACTGCCTGACTAATTCAGGGCAAAACAAGTTAAACCATGTTAGGGGCATTGCTTAATTGCTCCTTAAATGGCATTGACCACCTCACTAGAAAGCCTGTTCAGTATTTGAGCAGCCTCTCAGTAAAGAAATGCTTCCTAATGTCCAGTCTAAACCTCCCTGAAGCAATTTTGAACCATTCCTATCAGTGGATCCCAGGGAGAAGAGCTTGGCATCTCCCTTTCCACTTCCCCTCCTCAGAGAGCTGTAGAGAGCAAAGAGGTCACCCCTCAAACTTCTTTTCTACAAACTAGACAAGTCTTCATTGGGCATTCCTTATAGCCCTTTCACCGGCTTCGTTGCCCTCCTCTGAATCCAGTGACCTTCACATCCTTCTTAATCTGTGGGGCCCAGAACTGCACACAGTGCTCAAGGTGAGACTGCACCAACACTGCATACAGCAGAATAATCAGCTCTTTGGACCTGCTGGTTGTGCTCTGTTTGATGTGCCCCAGGAACGTGGTGCCCTCTTGGCTGCCAGGGCTCACTGCTGACTCACAGTGAGTCTGCTGCTGAGCAGCACCCCCAGAACCCTCCCTTCAAGCCACTCCTCTCCCAATTTATACTTGTGCTCAGCACTACTCTGGATTAGTTAAATTTCATCCTATTTATCATAGCCCAATGCTCCAGTCTACCTAGACCCCTCTCAAGGCCTCCTGTCCCTCAAGAGAGTGAACACCACCTCTCAGTTTGGTATCATCAGCAAACTTGCTAATGATGCATTCCAGTCCTGTGTATTGGACCTGATAGTGTCCTTTGCAAATAAATGCAAACTGATATTTTTGCTGTGAGTTTTATATTTGGTTAACCATTGTAATTTTAGAAAACAATTCATTGAGGTGTGGCCACATGTCACATCTCAATGAAAGCCTTTTGAACTGCAACTTTCTCTAAGGAAATTGGTTTTGTGCTTTGAATTACCAGCAAGTCACATTCATATGTCTGATTTTTTTTTCCCTGGTAATATCATCTTAGTGTCAGCACTCAGGAAGGTTAACTAACTGATAGGGATGGAAAGTCCTTAGAAACACAGGCTCTGTTTGGTGCTGATTGCTAAGAAATCATTCCTAATGTCTTCATCTCTGCCTTTTCTTGCTTTTTGCAATAGTTACTCTGTTTGGTAACTGCCTACTCTACTCTTCAGAAAGGAATTTATTTTTCAGCCAAAGGAGAATAGACCTTCGAAAAAGTCTGGAGGTGTCAAAACTGACAGCCAAACCTCACCAACACTTATAGGAGGAAACCTAGGTATATCTAAGGGAGAGCTCATTCACAGAAGAACCAAGATGGATTTGTGGAGTTTTAATAATATTAGCAACTAGTGTTTGTTTCAAAAGTCAGTATCCAGTGTGTGCATAGATGGTAAATATTTATTTTAAATAATAATATTTTAAACATGGAGCTGGTCCATTAAGCAATGTCCTATTCAATATGTTCATAAGTCAGTGAGTGAGCTGAGAAGGGGCTCCAGGTTTCCTACCGGCCTCCTATCGACTTCTGTGCATGTCAGGCCATGCACTCCCCCTGGGCAGGTTGCCATTTCTCTCCCAAGGAAGAGGTGACTCCTATCTGCACTACATTACATAAACAAGTCACCCGACTTCACTGCTAAGGAGACATCTGTAGGATCAAGATCACACTCCATCTCCAACCCTCTGATTGCCTACTTTGTTCATAGTCTGGCTCACACTTAGGCTGAGGCCATTGATCTACAGGCCAGGGATAAACAGGCACAAAGCAGAGTGCTGATCAGGACTTGGATACTGCCCCCACAGGCATTGTGGGTCCCAGCAGGCTGGGCCATGCCCTGCACTGAATGCTCTTGCACAGTAGCGGGTCCCATTAGCACTGTAATAAGCCATAGGCTGACTTTTAAAATGACTATACAGAGAAGATCCAGGAGACAAACCTGGCTTACATATTAGTTTATAAGAGTTTGGCCATCTTCTACTGTCATGTCTGAGAGTATTTCCTGAGAAAATTTTATTTTTTCCTTATCTCATGATTTGCTGTTTGTTTGTTTAAGGTTCCTGAAGCACAGTCCAAGCAGGTTGAACCTTGTGACTTGTGGCTGACTGAATACTGCTTTGCAAACAAATGTGCCATGACCACAAACTAAAAACAGTGGGCTTCAGTCCCAGGGAGATCGCCTTTTGCAAGTCTAGTATCTCGCATAGTGGAGGCCATGTCTGCACACATCCAAAGTCCACTTCTGGAGAGGCAAGCTGGCCTTCAGATTGACACCCCAGCTGCCTGCTAACCTTCAGTCTTCCACAGCTACATCATCCCTGCAACATGAACAGTCCCCTGTCTTGTGGTTCAGTGAAAAGGCAAACACGAACCATGGGGAAGAAATCACTACTCTGTTTTGGTTGTCCTTTCTGGCATCTGGTGGCATTCCCACCATGTCCCCTTGAAAGTCCTGATCGTTCTTTTAAGACTGCCTCTGTGTTGATAATTCAGTACAACAGCAGCACCTGTTATCCCAGTCTCCTGCTCCAGTGCTGGCTGCCTTGGGCTTGTACAGCAGGCACCTCCTGCCTCTGCATCCCATTCTGCCTCACAGGGAAGGTATAGTTGGATGTCTCTGCTGGTCAATGAGTGTATTTATTATCATACCAGCTCATGCTCCATTCCCTGTACCTTTTCTGTGGCTATTTTACCTATTTGGTCTCTGGGTACAGCCCATGATGTTGCAAAGACTGGAGTCTCCCTCTTCTGAAGGACTGTCCCTAGTCGTGGCAAAACACACAGATTGTCTAAGTCAGATGGTGTCTTTCAGAGACCTTCCTTCTAAGGCTTTCTGTGCAGAGCTGCTCTTGTGCTGACCTCTGTCATCAGTACACCTGCTCAGGCCCTCCTGGCTCACAGGCCCTCCTGGCTGCAGCACAGTGACATGAAGTCTCCCTTGGTATTGCCTTTTGTACTGCAGCCCCAGATTTTTAACTTCCTGGTGGTACAGGAGAAGAAGAGCATAAGACAGGAAGATAAGGAGCCAGCAGTTTTAAACCGCCCCCTCTTCTGAATGTATCCGGCTTTTTAGAGAAAATTTCTATCTCAGAAGCCATACTTATCTTATTTTACCCTCTTAAACAACTCAGCAACAATTCCTAGCCTTTCAAAAAGTGATAGCGATGAATGCAAATGTTTGTGCCTCCCAGTGTGCATGTCCTCGATGTTGTCCATGCACCCCCCAACTTGCAGTTGTCTTGAGGCAGCAGCAACTATGTGACTGAGTTTGAGCCAATTATTTCAAAGGTTAACCCCTGAGGATTTTAACACCTTGACAAATCAACAGTGGTGAAGATGCTCGATGTGCACTTTGGCTTCACAAGACTACAGTCATGTCACTGTTGCTAGAACAGATGTTGACACCCATTTTATATATATATATAAATTTATTTATTTTTAATAAATTATATAAATGCACATATGCCAAATATGAGTGAATTACTATTATTATTATTATTATTATTATTATTCCTTTCTTAACACCTCAATTAGCCTATTTTTCAAAAGTCCTCTGACATCTGAAAGGTTGGCTTCTCAGCTCCATCTGTCCCATGCATGCTTCGTAAAGTGGGGGAATGCAAATTATCAGCCCCATGGGGGCTGTAAAAACTAAATGCTTTAGGCAACCCAGAAGTCCTTTGCTCCATCGTCCACCCTGACAGTAAGAGACAATGGCCCTGTGAAAGGCTTACCTTGCTCCCAGCTAATTCTTTTTCTCACCTGGAGAAGGGAGGTCTAAGAGCAAATACCTTGGGGTTTCTAGTTTCTGGACAGAAAGGCAATTTGTTGGTGTCTTTTGGTGTTGGTGTGCAGATTGTTGGTTTGGGAAGTTTGTCTTTGCATAGACTACAGACCCTGATTAATGTGATGTTGTTGCTATGGCCATTGCTCTATCCTGCAATGTTTTCTGTTTCTGTCTTTGCTGACAAGGCCTTTAGCACCAGTCTAAGGGCAACTAGTAATAACAGGGAGGAACAGAGTCATAATGACCGTCCTCTGAGCAAACAATTGATATGCTAATGACGTTGGTGGGAACGCAGCTCGTATCTACAAAGACAGGGACTGCAGAATGAAAATAAGACAGGGTAAAGAACAGAGGGGATTAAAAAAATGAAGAAGAATCTTGTGGGATTTTTCCAAGGACCTAGAATAATCTTTGTGGAGGAAAGGGAAGGATTTGTACTGGGAGCAAGTCTGGTTTATCAGCTGAGTTAGCAGAGGAACTGACTCAAATTTAATATTACTCCACCATAGAGAGGACATGGAAGTAAAGAAATCTATGCAGAGTTTTTTTATTTGAATTTTATCTTCTGTGCACTTCTGGTTCTGAGTAAACAGCTAAGTTGTTCCAGAATCCCATCTCAACCCAAAGGCATGTTGCCTTTTCAAACCACCAATTATGTGCTCTAAACAGGTACAAAGGAGGACCAGATCTCCCAGGTACCTGTGGTCCTGAAGAATGGGGTGTTTTGAAAGTGGTGGCTGGAACACAAAACAGTTGTGTTTGAGGCTTCACCTCTCTACAGAACAGCAAGCAAAGTCAGTGCCCTAGATTTGTTTCAAGACAGGTCATGGAGAAAAGAGAGTTGTGGTCTTCCACAGTGTGTCAGGGCCATGGGAACAGTTACGTGAATGGCTAAAGAGGAGATCTGCTCTGGCCAAGTCATGGGCAGTTGCATTTCACACTCATTCTTTTCTTATTTGCCACCAAAAATAATTTATGATTGAGCCAGCCACATTATTTTAGAAAAAAATGCATTGTCAACCAAAGACTTCAAATAATGGAAAATCTGGAAATCTCTTGTGACTCTGCTTCAGTACTAACACCCTCACTATTACAGGCTTATTTCTGCTCTCAGTTTTTTGAACTTCAGCCTCCACATTTCAGAGTAAAGAACTGCTCTATCTAAATACTTTTTTGTGTAGAACTTTTTAACCCCAATCAAGTTGTCTCTTAGCTGTCTCTTTGATCAGCTAAATAGACAGAATTTCTTAAATCTCTCTTTGTAGGGTGCAATTTTCTCACCAAGAACCATTTTCATTCAGTCTAGGATTTGAGCTGAACGAAGCTGAGGGAAAAACTTTGGCCAGACTCTGTTTTGAGAAAACTTAGGAGATAGATGTTAGTATCTGATTACATTTGATGTTAATACGATCTTGATTATGCAGCAATAAATTCTGCAGCTTGTATTGTTTTGCCATGACAAAAACCTGAGTCATCCATTACACTTCTCTGTGAACTTCTTCCCTTTGAAATGATTATAACAAGCATGATTATATTGCATCAATATAAATCAACAGTGATGCCCTGTCCTGGTTACAATATATTGACATTTTATTCACAACATCATGAGTTTCTTTTCAGGCATTTTCAAAAGTATAAATCTCCCTTTCAGGGTACTCAGTAGCAAAATTAGCATTTGCTTTTTGTCCCTGTGCTCACAATTTTTTCATGGTTGTCAGTCCAAGTATTTGGCCTTCAGAGCTGTCTGAGGGGAAGCATAAATCAGATATATAAAAATCCAATATATAAAATTGTGAGTTCTCTCACAAGCAAGAAAAAGTTCTGTTTTGCAAGTGTAAAAGTGAAGGTGAATCTCTGTTTAAAAGTGTTGTCACTGCTTTTTCACTTCAGAAAACTTTGCAGCATTATGTTACTTCAGTGAGAAAATTGTTATAGGTCAGCTAAAGGCCAGTAAATTGTAACATGCTCTTGCATCTCCCATAGAAGAAATCATGATCTCATGATGGAAATGTTCTCTGGGCTATATTATTACTGCAACTTGTCCTCTAAGAACAAGGGCAGAAGCTCGTAATGAATATGGTGCCAGCACAGTTACACGAGCATACTCTCCTGTCCACATGCCTCTGCACCACTTCTCCTCCCACAGAAAGGTCAATGACAGAGAGGTGAGAGGATTTACGTACACAGTGCCCTAGAAAGAAGTACTTCTAGCTAGGTTGGGCCTGAGCTGTAAACAGTCCCACTTATTTCAGCTAAACATTATTAGGGTCATAAAATGTCTCAAGATTCATGCAAACTTCATGCCAACTTGGCTGCAGCCCAGGTTCATCTGCTGTAAAAGCCTCTTGAGAACAGTTTGGGAGCTTGGGAGAACCCTGAGTCAGAGCCCGAAAGGGGTTGCTTTGGGAGGTTTTGTGTCCATTTTTGGCAGGCCAGCTTTCTGTGGGATGAAAGCACTGCAGAAAGAAAAGGAGGTCTTACAGCATCTTGAGGCCCTCTGTGCTTGTAAGTGACATCTCCAAGTCAATGGCTGGGGCATCCTGGTTTTCGGGTTCATCTGAAAGTGCAGGTGTACTGCTTTGGAAAACAACTGAGACTGTGGTGTTGTGAGGTGAGGTTTTGCAGTGCTGCTGGCTTCCATGCTCCAGTGTACAAAGTTGGCCCAGTAATGCTCAGAAATTATTTCTTATGCAGGCTTTCTTTTCAAGGCAGTGGCCTTTCCTTCTCAGGAAGGTAACAGCTTGTTCCTCTCTCTTTGCAAAATCACTGACCGCCACATTTAACTAGTGGTGGGGCTCAGTGCTTGCCCTCCTTTTCCTCATCCAGTGGCAGGGCATGGTTATGGGGGGAGGTTCAACAGGGTAACCCAAGGCTACGGTTGCAGCCTGGGGATGGGTTTGGGATGATGGGGGCATCCCACCTGGCTCAATACAAGGCATACCAGGCATACTGGTGATGCCAGCTGTGATAAAACTGGAAGGGTGAAGGATGATGGAGCCAGGAGTGCCAGCGAGCTCCCGCACACCTCTGAGGTCATCAGCTCTAACCAGGGCATGCTGTAGTACAGGGAGAGAGGGGAGGCCCTCCCAGGCCCAGGAAAGGGCTGTGCTCCAGTGGCAGGAGAGTAATCAGGCTGTGGCAGCCTGGTGCTGCCTGATTACCTTGCAGTGACATGATGACATGCTTTCCAGTTCCAGGGGACATCTTCCCAAAAGAGATTTTGTATGCTAATCCCTCTTCCCCCCAACAGCCAGGCCTGAGGCTGCCGGCTGCCTGAGCTGCCAAGTTCCCAGCAGGAGTACCCTCTGGTGCACTGATAAGAGGGGATAAAAGCCACTCTACCCAAGCTCCCTTGGCTGTGGTGGGTTCTTCTCAGAGCCCCATGCAGCCAGCCCCCCACTGGATGCTCCGCCCCACCCTGGGAGGGTGATGCAATCACCTAGTCACCCAGTGGGGATGGTGCCTTCGTCCAGGCAAGCCTGGACCACCACTCCACAGATGGGGTCACCCGAGACTCTGGGGAGAAGGGAGAGGATTCCATAGCTCACCACCCCTGTCTTGGTGACTCTGTCAGCATCTGTCTCCTTTGCTGTGCTGGTCAGCCTGTGAAGCAAAACTGGGCATGCCAGTGATGGACAAGGCTCTTCTCCAAGGGACTACCACTGCCTGAAATACAGGCAGCTCTTTGCTCCAAAGCTCAGCAAGTAGAAGAGGGTCTGCTCTCTCCCATGGTGGTCTCTGAAGCTACCCATGACCCCTGGGACTGGCAAAAATATATCCCACCGGTCAGAGCACCCTGAGGGTTTGCTCAGCCGTGCTAACAGAAGCCTCCTCTGGGAGCTGGGAATGGCTGGAGTAGACCACAGATCTTGTCAGGGACATAAGAGCAGTAATATACAGCTCTTTTGTTGATACTCCTGTCCCATGGGGAATTCACCAGTGACCAAAGACTCAGGCATATAAGCTCCTCTGCTTTGCTGCAAAAGATCTGAAATACAGTCAAGTTTCGGGCTCCTAGTGTTTTGATTGGCTTTGCTGTCATGCCTTCGGAGATAACTCTTTTAATTTACATTGCACCAAACACTCCCAGTCAACCCTGAATTGTGCGGGACCTGCTGCTCCAGCTGGATCCCTACAAATCTACCCGATGGGATTCATCCCAGAATCCTCAGAGCTAGTTCATGTCATGGCACAACCTCTCTCGATGACTTTTTTAGCAATCTTGGGCAACCGGAGAGGTCCCAGCTGACTGGAAGCTGGTGAAGGTTGTCCCAGTTTTCAAGAAGGGCAAGAAGGAGGACCCTGGAAACTACAAGCCTCTCAGTCTCACTTCAGTGCCTGGTAAAGTTATGGAGAAGATTATTCTGGGAGGTATTGAAAAACACCTGAGAGACAACGCAGTTATTCATCACCACCGGCACGGCTTCATGAGAGGAAAGTCCTGCTTATCCAACCTGATTTCCTTTCATGACAAGGTAACCCACCTAGCTGATCAAGGGAAGCCAGTTGAAGTAATCTTTTTGGATTTCAGTAAAGCTTTTGCTATTCTCTCACAGGATCCTTCTGGACAAAATGTCCAGCACAAAGCTGAATAAACAGATCATGTGGTGGGTGAGCAATTGGCTTACGAGTTGAGCACAGAGAGTAATAGTGAATGGGGGAACATCAGACTGATGACCTGTCCCTAGTGGCCTTCCACAGGGCTCCATTTTAGGCCTGTGCTCTTCAACATCTTCATAAATGGCTTGGACATGGGACTGGAAGGGATACTAAGTAAGTTTGCAATTGATACAACATTGGGAGGAGCTTTCCAAGGCAAGGAGGCCCTCCAGAGAGACCTTGTCAAATACGAGGGCTGGGCAATCACCAACCATATGAAGTTCAACAAGGGGAAGTGCCGGATGATTCTGCACCTGGGATGGGGCAACCCTGGATGTATGTACAGACTGGGGAATGAGATGCTGGAACACAGTGCCACAGAAAGGAAGCTGGGGGTCTAGGTCAATGGCAAGTTGAATATGGGTCAGCAGTGCCCTGGCAGCCAGGAGGGCCAACCGTGTCCTGGGGGGCATCAGACAAAGCATTGCCAGCTGGTCGAGGGAGGCGATTGTCCCACTCTGCTGTGCACTGGTGCGGCCTCACCTTAAATATTGTGTGCAGTTTTGGGCATTGCAACATAAGAACAATATTAAGCTCTTA